GCTCCCAGCCCCCCATCCCAAACTAAAAATACAAAAAAAATTAGCTGGGCATGGTGGTGGACACTCTGTAATCCCAGCTACTTGGGAGGCTAAGGCAGGAGAATCTCTTGGAGCCCGGAGGCGGAGCTTACAGTGAGCCAAGATCACGCCACTGCACTCCAGCCTGGGGCGACAGAGTGAGAACTCTATCTCAAAAAAAAAAAAAAAAAGAAAGAAAGAAATACACAATTTCTCCTCCTCTCCTTCTTTCTTACCTCTCACCTCCTCCTCCTCCTTCCCCTTCTTCTCCTTTGTTTCTCTCTCTTAGAGTGGTGGGTTTTAAGCTTGTTTTGAATCAGGTCTTCTTTGAGAATCCGATGAAGGCTGAGAACCCTTCTCCCAGAAGAATGTGCGCATGCCCGCAGTGTGGCCTGTAACATTGGATCTATCTCACAGATATTCACTCCGAAGGCTTTTAGCGTCCCACCAGTTAAGAACCCCGGTCCCACTCCAATCGAGGTCCAGTCCGAGGTGGCCCTCGCTCCCACCTTCTGCAATGGCCATGACACAGGTGTCCTTGCCAGTCCAGACTGGGGGGCTGTGCGATGACATGACCCCGTTCCAGTCTTCTTTCCCAAAACAGAAGACCCCTGCCAGTGGCTCCTTTCTGATCCACACGGAAAGCTGGTTCACAGAACCCTGGTGATATGCTGGTGTCGGTGACACATCTGAATACCCAGTCCCGTTGGGGCGTGACAAGGTGCACACTTGACCACCAGAATACCACATGCGTGAAACCCCGTCTGTACTAAAAACTACCAAAAAATTGCCGGGTGTGTGCGCGGTGCCTGTAATGCGCAGCCTACCCTGGTGAGGCTACAGGAGAATCACTTGCAACCCGAAAGGCAGACGGTCTGCACTGAGCTAAGAGTCTGCCATCTGCGCATTCCCAGGCCTGGCACGTAAGATGACAACCCATCGCTCACACAGCACACACACACACACACAAAAAAAAAAGGTACAAAAAAAAAAGAGAGCAAAAAAAAAAAAGAAAAAAAAACAAGGAACAAACAAGGTGTTCTAACCCTTTCTAACCAGTTCAACAAAACTCGGCCTCAAAGCAAGCGGGGCTGGCCATGGACCAGACTTGGCCCTTTGTGCTCAGAGACATTTGACACACCGAGAGGTGGCCGCACACTCGGTTCCACACGAGCATGGCATTGGCGCAGGCTGGCCGCTAGCTCTTCATCATTACTCACGCCACTGACTGTTCTTCCCACAACAAGCACGGACATTCACACACACCTTAAAACCACCTCAAAACACAACACATACACACACACAAACATATCAAACACACAACACAAAAACACACGCCAAACCTAGCCTTTACAACAACAAACCATACTTATTTCAAGACATCTCACTCTAGGAATCGCGTACGCAAAGAAGACAGCAAAGTGCATGCACCATTAAATGGCGCTTCACCTGGCAGCCTTGACTCTCCTGGGCCCACAAACTTCTGCCTTAGCCTCCCTGATAGGCTGGACTACGGGTCACCCACGACACCCATTAATCTTTTTGCCTTTATTTATTTGTTGTTTTTGTTTTTGAGACAGGTCTCGCTCTGAGTCTGCCCACGCTGGAGTGACAGTGGCGCGAAATTGCGCTCACGCAACCTTTGCCCTCCTGGTTCAACGCAATCCTCCTGCTTCAGCCTCCCGAGTAGCTGGGATATAGGCCATGCCACCCACCACACCCAGCTAATTTTATATCATTTTTATAAGACGAGGGTTTCACCATGTTGGCCAGGCTGTCTCAAACTTCCTGACCTCAAGTGAGTCCCACTCCTCGCGACCTCGCCAAAGTGCTGGATTATAGCAATGAGCCACTGCACTCTAAGTTCATGTTTATAAAAATTGCAAAAATGACCAACAACAAGACGACGGTGGAACATACACACTCCTATTACCATAAAACAAACACAACACAAAAGGTCTCACCAAACACACTGGGATTCCAGGCATGAACCACCGTGCCCGACCACTCCCATTATTTCTAACAGGCAAATCTGAACACCCATTTACTCATTCCACAAATACTTATGGAACAATTCCTATGTCCCCGGCAGAGTTGCTGGCTCTGAGGACACAGTACAGAATAAATGAGACAGAACTCCCTGCTGTGCAGAACCTGCCTCCTATGGCCACATCCACCAGCTCACAGGCCTTGGAAGGCCTTCTGAGTAACCACCTGGCACGTGCCATCCATGGCTCCTCCCGGGGCGCCCTCCCACCTCATCTCCCATCACTGCCCTTGATTCCAATACCCCTGAGCCCACCTGGCCCCCTCATGCCTTCTCTGCCTCCACGGGTTCAGGTGAGCTCACAGGTCAAGGCCCAGCTCAGCCACCTCCTCCTCCATGCAGCATTCCTGATGCCGTGACTACTGCTGTCTCTGGGGTCCTCCGGGAGCCTGTGTTTAGGGCCCAGTCTCTTCTTCCAGTGATTTATTTGCTAGCATGTCTATTTCTCCCCAAAGCTCTGAGCTTCTGGAGGCCAGGACATATCTTGTCTCTGGATCGCCCAAGTAGGCCACTTTGAAATGTTTGT